CACTGCGCTTATTTGCATAACTGCCTACTTAATGCATAGTAGTAAGCATAGTTTTGTCAGTTCTTTTTAAGTTCAGCTCTTTGTTCGATTCCGCAGTTTTTGCAGTTCTTGTTTCCTATTGGTTGTATCTTTCCCTTAAATTTTCGCGCGCTTTTTGTTGCCAAACATCGGCCTATTTAAATAATGGTTTCTATTATTTTCTACTTTTATCTGCTCGCTCGTAGCTTAAAGACAATGCTGCAGCAACTGCAGCAAACTGGATATTGAACCCCCCGCCCCCCCTTCCCCAGTAGTCTGTTCCCAATTTCTCAGTTTCTAACCTCTGCCATCTTCTATTCCAGGCACTCTCATGCTGGTTGACCCCGAGGAGGAATTCTTTCCGGCAGAGATCGCCAAGCTGCGTCGAGACATCCTCCAACAGGGTCTCTCCCTGCTGGTGTTTGCCGGCTGGTACAACACTACAATTCAGGACTTGCTCCGCTTCTACGACTCTCACACAAGGTCTGTACGAGCATGCTTCTTTCTCGAGTTAGCTGGCGACGAACGCCCCGACGGCCACTACGTCCAGTTCTCTCCCCCTTCCCCCCCTTTAGCCGGCCTGACCGGGATAGACCAATGTGTAGTGTTTTCAGACGGGCGATAAAAGTGCATCCTGAAAGTCGGACTTTAGGGGGTCCTTTATACCTGTGATAATAACCAGTTTTTACATTTGCAGTAGCTCGATTTTGCCTTTTTCGTTACGTTCCGCCAATATAACGTCGCATTTTCCTTTCACGGTAAATTCTGCCAGCATAAGGCCGGATTCCCATCAATAGGCAGCAGTTGCCTGAGCACCAGGAGTTTATGTTCATGGAATTGATTCTATTTAGCTCATGGAAACAACTATAAGTTACTTTAATTTAATGTTCTTTGATCAATTTCAATACAATTAAATATTCATTGACACTCGTTAACCAATTATTACATGTTTAACCACCAATTCCGTAAGACATTTGGGCGTGAAATAGATATTTAGGCTGCCCTACAAAACACTTTTGCCGGACAATCATACATTTTCGTATGCTATTTGGTCAATATTTTGTAGTTTACATAAAAATTGGCAATTGATGTAGGTTTAGTCTTATATTTAGTGAGAGGCATTAGTTAACATACAAGTACCATGCTATTTATCTTGTCATTGCATGGTCATTAAAAATATCATAATTGGAAAACTTTAAAAACCTTGATAACCCCTTGTCTAAGTACCCACTCAGAAGAAAGCGTGATTTTTCTCAAATGAGTACACAAAAGAGTACTTTTGCTTACATATTCTGTATATAATATTTGAATATTTGACGGCCCCAAGAAACAATAATAAAACGCATATTACTTAGGACGGCTGCGGTGCCACGTGGGTCGGTCTTAAATCAATTCATGATTTCGAACTCCTCTAAAGGCGAGAGTGACCCTTTTTGCACGTACTATTTGAAGATGTGATTTTTGCCTGAATTAAGAATCGACCCAAAGTAGGTTCAGTCACTTTCGTTTGATGCTACCCATTCTCCGTGGTCACATTCTTGTGCCGGTGGTAGTTTTCTTTAGCCGATCTGCTACTGTTTTGGTTTGCCAGTTCTGTGCTGGTCTGTAAAATTCTCTGTTATCAAAAAGGGCCCTATTCATAGTCTTCTCGGTTCATCACGCCAATTGTTCGTCCTTTATCGGTGGACAGAATGCTAATGTTACCTGTCCTGCTCTGATTATATTTTGTTTATTCGTCGGCAGAATGTACCTGTAAGTAATCCTTAAATTTTACCTAAAATTCATTGACCGTTTTTGTCAGAGTTCTGGTTTTATCTGTCCTGCTCTGAGTCTAGTTGATACTTACGTATCCACATAATGCGGCTAAAAGTAATCCTGAAATCACACCTTATAAATTCATTGAATGTTTCTTAAGCTGCTCTCAGTCCCTCGCCCACAGCTAGACTTTCTGGTTTGTTTTTATGCGTCTACCTACTGTGAGCACGTATCTTCTAAGTGCTTTCTTTGTGTGTTGCTCACATCGGAGAGGTTTTTTCTCTTCTTTTAGGCGGCTGTGGTCACCGCCCACGGGGGGAACAAACGTTCCGGCCCTGAACGACCTCCTAGCGCCCCTGGGCATTCAGTTTGGGTGAGTTTTTGCTA